GGGGATGGGGCAGCATGTGGTGGCCGTGGTGGCCGCGGGCAGCGAGGGGGAAGCACGCACCGCTCGGATCCGGCCAAATCGACCAGATTGAAGCGTGACTCAGACACCTGGGTCAGGCCGACGATGGTGTCGCGCGACTCCGACCGAATGTAGAGAGTGAAGACCGCGTGCGAGCGGGAACTCTCGCGATTCATCCCGGTCGAGGCGACGTGGCGGTTGAGATTCCCGCGTGCCAGCAGCTCACAAGCCTCCTGTGCCGAGGTGACCGGCATCTCGGTGGCCCCGTCGATGTACACCCCTCGCTTGGTGTCCTCACGGATGGCTGCCAAACCGTTGAGATGGGCGGGAAAGGGCGGAGGGGGGGGGGGGCGGGTCAGACACAGAGGGCGAAACAGAAAGACCCACACATGTACACGGAAGGACAGGGGGAGAGAGAGAGAGAGAGAGAGCATGCAGTGAGGAACACACCGCAGCTGGGCGAGTCGGCGTTCAGCAGATCGAAGGCAATCTCATTGTAGAGCTCGATGTAGGAACACTTGACCGAGTACTGGATGGTCAGAGTGCCGGCAGTGGTCGGATCACTGCCGACCGGCACACCGGCAGTTGTAGCCGCGGCCATCTGCGAAAAAAGGAGCTCCAGCGCACGCGGGATGAGCCCCTGCTCCTCGGGAATGGGGAGAGCCCAGGCGACAGGAGGCTGGCCGGGGGGATCCGCCGGGCCGACTTCGTCCTCGGGGTTCAAGCCGGGCGTCGAGGGCATGGCCGATGGCCCGAACATGGTGTACGTTTTGCCGGCTCCCGTCTGTCCATACGCAAAGATGGTGGTGTTGTAGCCCTGCAAGCAGGTGAGCACCGAGTGACTGATGGAGTTGAAAACCTCCTGCTGGCCGGCGTTCTGATCGTGCACCACATCGAAGGTGAAGGACTCGCTTTGTGTATGGGCCCCCTGCAGCAGAGCCAGGCTCCCGGCCCCGGCGGCGGTCGACAAGAGGGACACCGTGCGCCGAGTGGGATCAGCCTCGACACAGTGTGTCAGCGGCCCGGCCCCGGTGCCCAGGCGCTCATTGTCATTGAGTGGCCGGATTCGCACGATCACCTTGATGTTGTCATCATCCTCTAGGCCAGGGGGGCCATTGGGGGATGGATCGACACCGGGGCTTGGCAGGGCAGGGACGCCCTGGAAGGCACTGCACCACCCATTTGAGGAGCAGAACCGCCCGAGGGAGCAGGACAGGAAACGGCGAAGGGAAGAGAGCCAGGAGCAGGTCGGTTAAAAAGGCGACTCCCATCATCACACGAGGAGACCCATGGGGAGAAAGAGCCACGACGCACCGGTCCATAGGAAGGCACGGAGCGAATGAGAAAACCTCAGGGCGGGGTCACCTGCCTCGCGAGCGCGGCCGAGGGGGCATGCAACTTCCAGCGCCGGCCCGGAGCTGGCACACGGCAATCGCACAAATCGATGAGGAGGGGGAGGAGGGGGGGGACAGTCGAGGGGGCGAGCGGCGGCGAACGAGCCAGCGGACGGACGGGCCGGCGGGCGGGCGGGCGGGCGGGCGGAAGAAGGGTGGCCGCCGCGCTGAGCTGGCGAGCAGGGGTGAAGTGGGAAGAGAGGAGGCCAGGGAGGAAGGGAATGAAAGTGGAGAGAAGAAGGCGGGGCGGTGGACCGGAGAATGGTGCTCTCAGCACCATGCCAGTGCGACAAGCCCGCGACCCTTTAGCCCTCCCCGCCTCGAGCAAGCCCCGCCTCCGTGTTGTGCTTGCGGAGCCCGCCTGCCGTCCGCTCTCCTCGGGCGCCGAATTTCCCGTCCGGCCATCCGTTCCGATCGTGCATGCAAGCGGGGGGGGGGGAGGGGGGGGCGGAGATCGCCTCTCACCCACCGTTGCCTGCGTTCTTCCCCCGATCGGCCCACGCCCCCAGGGGCAGGCCAGGGAAACTGGCACACTCGCCTCACCGGGGGGGGGGGGGGGAGCGAGGGCCCTCCCTCCAGCGCACAAAAGGGACCACAGAGGCTGGCTATGTCCCGCCAGCAGGCAGGAGGGGGGGGGGGGGGAGCATGCGAACGCGAGCGGGGGGGAAAACTTGCCCCGCCAGAAGAGACTCATACGGAAAATGATCCCGGTGGCGCCGGCCCAGGGCACGGCATTTTAAAAAAACGGCTACCCACTGCCAACCCAGACAGGTGCCGACCCATCGACACCGCCAGCGTGGGCATTCGGTCCGCATGTCGCGGCCGGACTGCCACCGCCACGCTGGGCCATGTTGCCGCCGCCCCACCGAGGGGACCGGACATGCACTGCCCCCGTCCGGCTCCCCCCCCCCCC